GGGGGGGAGCTTGGGAATGGCAGGGGTTTGGAGGCTGCTGAACCCAGGAGGGTGCAAAGCCGTTGGAAGTTTCTACTGGAAAACAGAAACGAACACCAGGGGCTATAACCCTTTTTTATTCCATCACAACATTCTCTCAGGGAGGAACGGCATAAAAGTTTTCCAAACAATTACTTAGGAAAGGACATCCACCACAAGCGCCTCTCATTCTGCTGGAAAGAAAAGCCCCGGATTGAATAAATCACCCCCCCTAAATTTCTGCTGCTAAGTGCGATGGTGGTTAAGTGAGTTTTCCCCTCATTTTAAGACCTTTCTTCCACAGTTTGCTAAGCGGATCGCTGAAGCGGTTAAGTTAGTCCCCCAGTTGTTAAGTGAGAATCTTGCTTCCCCGTGTGACACTGCCTGTCAGAAGGTTGCAAAAGGGGTGTGTGTGACCCCCCCCCACAACTGTCATAAATACGAGTCAGTTGTCAAGCCTTTGGTTTTTTGATTACATGACCACGGGGGATGCTGCAACGGTCATAAGTGTGAGCATCAGTCATAAGTCACTTTTTTCCCCATGCCTTTGTAACTTTGAACGGTCACTAAACGAAGGACTGTAAGTTAAGGACTACCAATACTTCAAAACAATGCAATTCTCTCTGCAATTCATTTCGAATGCAACTCTTGGCTGAGAAACCCAGAAAGAGATATGCAACGGCTTCACAAATAGTCCTCAACTTATGAACCGTTCGAAGTTTTGAGAGACCTCCCTTTATGACCCAGATTTGCAGTTTCTGATGGTCTCTGCCTTCCTCCTTGCAACCATAAAACTTCAGGTGATTGGCAAGAGGCTGCATTTACGGCGGTTGGCAAGTACCCCTGGTTACGTGACTGGGTTTTATGATGGTTTTGCAGAAAACTGGCAGCCACTTCCAGGTTTCGTGCTGATAGAAAACCCTTGGTTCCCAGCTGCCAAAAAGGGGACATAAAACGGAGTTGATCACATGACCAGCCTGTTTAGTGATCATTGCAACTGTGATGGGCAGGCTCCATGACGGTTGTAAGTTAAGGACCGCCTGTATTTGATTTCTGAAGTGGTTACATCATTATGGCTGATTCATCTGGCTGCCCGGAATTATTTTTTTCATTGATTTTTGAAAGTTTATTTTTTCTCGACCATATTGCATTCCGGTATTGAAGGGGCTGGGGTCAACTTATTTTCCAAAGCACTTGAAGGTAGGACAAGAAACAATGGAAACTAATTAAGGAGAGAACCAAGAACTAGAAGGAGAAACTTCCAGACAAGTGGGAATAATCAACCAGGGGAACAGCTTTCCTCCAGAAGTTGTGGATGCATCATCACCAGAGGTTTTCTACTTGTCTGGAATGGTTTAGGGTCTCCTGCTTGAGCAGTGGGTTGGACTAGAAGACCTCCAAGGTCCCTTTTGGCTTTATTCTGACACGAAGATTCTTCCTTTCAATTGTGTCCAGTTCTTGGGAGACTGTCTGGATAGATCATTGCTTGGCCAGATTTTTCGGAAGTGGTTTGCCATTGCCTCTTTCCGAGGGCTGAGAGAAACTGGCTGGCTCAACACCATCTAGCTCAGGGGTCACAAGCCTTTTGGACTTCAGGGACCACCAAACTCATAATTTTAAATCCCGCGGATCAGAGACCCTGGGAAAATACCCCAAAATAGTCTGCAGGGAAATTCCCCACCCTGTTTTCCTACCGATCGATTGTTCTTTATTTGGGATCACAGGATACCGTCTCCAGCTCCATTCTTGGGGGGGCGGGGGGGAAGAGACTTTTGGCTTCATGCAAGGAAAGCAGCAGAAGCAGCAAAAGTCTTTCTTTCTCTCCCCCAAACTCTGCCAAAAATGAGTCTTTGCTGGCGCAGCCTCTTGGAGCAGGATGCCTTGCAGGGTCCCAAAGACTCATTTCTGCTGGAGTTTGGGGGAGAGAAAGAAAGACTTCTGCTGCTTTCCTTGTGTGCAGCCAAAAGCAGAAGAAGGAAGAAGCGGGGAAAAGCAGCCTGGTGGCCAGGCCAGGTGCATGGGGCAAGTTCCCCCCTTTCCCCCCTCCCCTCCCTACTTCGTGCTGTTCGCAATGCAAGCGACGCGAGCCTTGAGCCTTGTGTTCCCATTGGCCATGTGGGCGGCACAGCCTTGTGTTCCTGCACAGCCTGGATTAATTTCTTTGGGGGGAGTGCTTGGGGGGGGACGACTTTTCTCTGCGGACCACCAAAATTTTCTCACAGACCACTAATTGGCGAGCACTGATCTAGCTGACTTTGTGCCTACGCTTGGGCTAGAACCTACAGTATTCCACTTCCTTTGGATTAGAATTTTGCAGGATAAGTTTGAATTTAGAAGGTAGTTCAAAGCCAAGATTCATCCATAAAGAGATCACGATATGTGTGTGATTCAGGGAATCTTACTGCAATGCCAGTGATGTTTTTTTCAGATTTCTTAACACTGTCTCAAGTTTTTAAAATCCTTTCTTAAATTCTTTTGCACTTTTTTCCCTTGTGCGCATAGAAATTGGCTCGCTTATCGAGCCATCTAAAACTCAATACCTTGCCACTGAGTTGGAGCCGTGGTGGTGGTACTTTTATTAGGGGTAATCTGTGGATGGCGCAGTAATGTTTGAAACACAAAATATGAAGTCTCTCTCTCTGTGTGTGAAAAAAGTGACATGGGACCGTTTTTCACACTTAACACCGTTGTGGCATTTCCCATAGTCACATGGTCAAAATTTGCACGCTTGACTCATATTTATGATGGTGGCAGTCTCCTGGGGTCATGACCTTCTGACAAGCAAATGGGGGAGGAACTCACTTAACAACCGTCTTGCTTAGCAGTGGAAATTCCAGGCTCAATCGGGGTCGTAAACTGAGGACTACCTGTATAGATAGACCTGTAAAGGTTGAGGCATGCTCTGTGAGGGCATTTCTTGGTGGTGCAGAATGGAATAGATGGGGATACCCTTGCCTCTTTTATATCCTTCAATTTCTTCTCCAGAAGTTTCTGGCTGTCCTCCTTAGGAGTTTGGTTGAAGCATTTCCCGCAGGGAATAGAAATTAAACTGAGAAGAATATCAGCTGTCCATTCCTGCTCAGATTAGAATCAGTGGCAGAGTTCAGTTTAACCTGGCAAGGGAGGCCAATTCCAAAGAAGGTTTCCCCCCTTTTTTTTCAGCAAAGGGCAATCAAGAATTAAATTTACATTCTTAGAACTGCCGTACAATTTATTTTCCCTCGTACGCATGCCCTACTTGGAATTTGTTTAACTGCTTCTTCTGGCAATCGGCTGCAAATCACTTCCAGGGCTGCCCCTTTCTCCCCCCACCCCCCCTGCCTTTCCTTGGAATGTCCATTAATCTTTCAAAATCTGGAAATAAAAATATCCTACAGCCCTTCCTTCTGTTTCCCAGGACTTCGTGGACCCTCGCAGCCAGCCTCAAAAGACCTCCCGTTGAAAAGTTATGCTCGGTGTGGCCTGCCCGTTGCCAAAACCTGAGGAAAAAATTGGATTCTCCAGGCCAGCGAAACTGTCATTGCGCACGGACAGTTTCTACCAGATACTGGCCTAAATTTAGATGAATGCAAACCGGGAGTGTTAAGTTGGCACGTTGCAAATTCAGGAAACAAGCACAGCTTTCCTGGATCTGAGACACTGAATAAAGTAAATTAATATAAGGCAGGAAGGCAACAAAAGCTTCCAAATGCTGACTCATGGCTTTGCTACTCTCCTTGTTTAAACCAGGACTCAAGTCCATGGAGCTAAAGAAGGGAGTGGATAAAGGGGCAGAAATCCAGAATAAGCTCTCAAAAGCGCCATCTCAAAACTAAAAGCATTCTTCAGGTTTATTTACTTGCTTATTTTTAATGGACCTTTTAGAACTTCCGACTGTGCAGAACATCTATTGGGTAAAGCAGAGGTATCCAACCACAGCAACTTTAAGACCTGTGGACTACAATTCCCAGAATTACCTGGCCAACCATGCTGGCTGAGGAATTCTGGGAGTTGAAGTCCACTCATCTTAAAGCATGTTGGCCGGGTAATACTGGGAGTTGAAGTCTACCTATCTTAAACCATGATGGCTGAGGGATTCTGGGAGTTGAAGTCCACCTATTTTAAAGTACTGTATGTTGACTGGTAGATTCTTGGAGTTCAAGTCCACCCATCTTAAAACAAGCAGGCTGGGGAATTCTAGGAGTTGAGGTCCACCCATCTTAAAGCATGCT